GTCGCTTCTGCTGAAACAAGGGGTTATGGGGAATGCCTTTTCTAACTGCAATGGCAGTTCCACCTTTTTGCCCAGGTAGCGATCGGTTCGATAAAAGTGATAATCTGGAATAAAGAACCTCTCATGAGGTTTCAGATGTGTCTTATCTCCAGTAATTTCTGGTAATCTTCTAGTAATCCTCTTGAGGTAGCTCTTGGAGCACCGAAGAGAGGATATCGAGTCGAACAGTTGATATCGCGTTGTCATGAAAACGTCCTCTCTGTTGCTGTGAGAACAATGTTTACGTAGCCGTTATAACGGAAACCTGTTTCTGTATGCGGTGCATAGGAATCGATGTCTTCTATAGTTCCTCTATTGTCGTGATTATTGAGACTTTCGCTACTAAATAACTGAAGTTCTATTGTTGACAGCGTTATAAAAATACGCGAGGCTTTCCGGTTCCACACCTTAATGCTTTGAGCATTCCGTCACAATATATTTTGATATAACTGAAGGGAGATCCGTTACTAGGTTACGGAACAGTGAACTACTCAGCATTACAACGATTGCACATGCAACAGAGGAATGGCCTTTTCTGTTGGGTTCACGTGGATATCCACGTTATCCAAGAATAGAAGAATTGTTGGAAGCTGTGTTTTCTGTGCGGTCTTTGCAGAGGATATATGAGGAGCACCAGCTTCCAAGACGGCAGTTAGAAGGGTGGGAATTTGGTGTGAGATGGCCGCCAGCCTGCGAGGACGTTAGCCTGGGAGCAGAGGAACGTCCACTGTTGAAGACGTTACCAAGCAGCGCAGTGATGACGTGACTGAGAGCACTAGTCTGTGTGTGACAGTGATTTGTAAAGTGTAGTCACGAGATGCATGATGTACAGTAAATCCAGACATCACGTCAAAACCCGTCTATCGTCACTCGAACACGTGACAATACATTTTAATTGCAGGCCGTTAATGTAGCTACTCTGTTTCTATCTCACGCTGTAAGTCTTCTAGTACCGAATAGTAAAAAGGAAAAGCTCTTCCTGCGCTTAAATACTCGTAATTAATAGCTATGCCATGAAAATATATGTATGGGGGGTGGATAGATCATCGTTTTCTTGATCGCTACGCTAGCTGGAGGTGAGTGGTCAGCTTCACGTCCCGACAGCTTTACTCCCAAAGAGTGAGCACCCGGTAACCATTGGATAGGAGGCTGGGTGGGCCACAGAGCGGGTCTGGACAACAAGGATAAAAGAAAATTCTTAACCCTACTGGGACCTGAACTGCCACCCCTCGGTCGTCCAGCCCGTAGCCAGTCGCTATACTGACTGCGCCAATAGTGGGATAAGTAAACTATGATGAATTTTAAAGAATATGTTTGTGATCTGTTTGAAGGAACTGTATCCACAGTGTGCTGGAGTTTCTGAGAGAAACCGCGAAATATGCCTCTCGGAGTAGTGGCAGTAGTCAAAATTCAAACTGCGAACAGACCACATACAAGTCAAAAGCTTTACTGCCCGATCCAACTGGCTCGGTTGCAGTCAACAGGACAGACACTTCACTGCATAGAATTAGTAACACGCTTCTAATGCTTTGGAGTAGAGTGTTTCTTGAAAGCTAATTGTTCATTGGCTGGTCCGAAATGCCTCGCCTTTTATGGGACACGAAGGTCCTTTACGCGTTCGCAAGAGCCCGCACTCACTTACTTTATGGAACAGAACCTTCCTTGAGAAGCTAACGGTCGTTCAGCTGCTCAATAAATTATTCGTTTTTTTTTATTATGTTACACAATGTTCTATTACCGTGTTCACAAGAACCAGCCAATGAAGTCAAATCTTAGTTAAAACAGACCACACACTAACATTCCATTTCCTTAAGATCTAACATCACAAAATAATCAAAATATAACAAATCAACGGTACAAATATTCTCTCTCTCTTTCTCTATGGCTCCAAAGCCCTTTGGTCCTTACCGCTTTTGCAGGTAATTAATCTTATATGCAGTCGGTAGGACCCCTTCGATGGGAGATCAGCTCGTCGGAAAAACCGCTACCTACACACAGAGCAACACAAACACAGAATAAGCTCACACAGACATCCATGCCTCTAGTGGGATTCAAGCCCACAATTCTAGTGTTAAAGCAGGCGAAGACGGGTCATGCCTTAGACCGCACGGCCCCTGTGCTCGACCCTGTAAGAATATTAAACTGAATAAATGTATAAGTTCATTATATTCCGTCTCATATCACTACAAAACATATTGTAAACTTTTTTAAAATTTATAAAATTTATTACTGATTGAATGGATTGTGAACTTTTAACGGTTATGTAACAATTGTATTGGTTATTGAGCATCACAGTATGTGAGAAAAAGATCGGGTTCAATGGATTTTCAATGGCTGGGAGGACACGATCGTGGCCTATTTGACGGTACCATGCTGGTATTTGCCTTAAGGGAGTGAGGAAGACCACAAAGAAATTTAGAAACATTAGGGTGTCGGCCAGGAATTGAAGCAGACGTAACCGGAATAAACTCAGAAGCTCTGCATCGTCAGTTAAATAGCTGCGCCTTCAGTTAATGGGTGCATATTTCATAAAACGTAAAAAGTATCCGCGAAAAAATTAATAGAAACCACTTCAATGACTAACAGAGTGACCGCTGGTCACGTATTTCGCTTTCCGGACATCATATACAGGATACCACACTGATATAAGCATGTGATGTAGTGTTCATGTCTGGATGTTTACTGGCTATTCGGAACTTTTATGTTTTTGTTTTTTTCAGTGCCTCTTCCAGCCCATTCAGGGCCCTGGCCTCTTATTCAGTAACGCAGTCATTGTTCACAGATGATAGGTGACTCCTTGAGCGAGGGATCAGCCAGTTGCGAGGCCTCTACCTAAACACAGGACAAACAATCACAGGATAAACTTATACACAGACCAAACATTCATGCCTTAAGTGGGATTCGAACCCACGATCCCAGCGTCCGAACAAGCGAAGACAGTTCATTCCCTAGACCGCGCAGCTACTGTGACCGGCATTATAAATGTTACATACCCTTTCTACTACGTCTGTTATGTATAAAATGCATATATGTACGTGCAATGGAGAGGTAATATCTTCGTACTGGCTTTCATCTCTAAATATGCAGAACGGATGTCGACTAAATTTCGTACTGGGTCGGTGTTATGCTATACGTCGGGTGAATTGAATTTTGAATCGTTTTGGTTCAGCACGTCCCTTGTTTCAAAGGCAGCCAAAATAGAATTTTAAACCTATTGTTTTCGATTTATTTTAATTTTATTTCCATGTATGAAAACTAAAGAAGTCCTGATATATGGTTGCAAATAGTTATTTACATTTAGTTAATTACTTAAAATAATAAATTATTTCATTGTGATTAACATATTAATTATTATGCAGGCTTAAGTCAGTTGTAGTCTGTCTCCCTAGACAATAAAAGCGTAAAGGTGCTGCGTGAGATTGCTGTGATACAATACTCGGAAGAATTGTTAGTTCGAGGCAGTACCAATTCTGCCAGTAAGCGGATCTGCCAGCAACAGTCTCTCTGACGTCAGCTTCCGTCATGATAATGAGCAATGCTTATTGGAAGGCCTTATTAAAACACGCATTTCTTTCGAGCAAGCTAATGTAGGGGTAACGCCCTAGACTTCTATTCGGGAGGATTTCGTTTCGAAACCAGGGTACGGGTTATCTTCAGCGAGAGTTGTGGTAATTTTTCTGTCCCTCCTGGGAATACCGGCGTAGTACCCCATTCAACATTTCGCCTCTTCACTCCACAGCATTTCCAAACAAATTATTCACCAATTGTCTTGTCATTTAACTCTAAAGTAACGTAAAGTTCCCCCTGTGCTTAACTTATTAAGCACTATCCTATGAAGGTGTATGGGGGCATGGCTGTATAGACCCACGTTTTATTGACTTCGGCACTAGTTGGAGGTGAGTGGTCAGCTTCAAGCCCCGGCCGCTTTACCCCGGGGAGAAAGCCCCCGGTACCCACTGGATAGGAGGCTGGTTGGGCCCCAGAGCCGGTCTGGATGACATGGAGAATAGAATATTCTTTACCCTACCGGGACTCGAACTCCGACCCCTCGGCCGTCCAGCCTGTAGTCCGTCGATATTCCGGCTTTTCATTGAACGCTATACAGTTTAAAATACTGACATCACCGTACTTTATTCAATATTGAACATTATGATTGACTTGTTAGTAAGCGAAGCGGAGCCCCTAGGGTATATACATACATAACATGCAGTACATAAGTTCTCACACATATAAGATAAAAAGATAAAGTTACCTCTGTGCTTAACTAATTAAGCACTACGCCATAGAGTATGTGGGAGTGGATGTGTAGATCCACATTTTCTTGACCTCAACATTATTTAGAGGTGAGTGGTCACCTTCAGGCCCCTTCACCCTTGGTGAAGAAGCACCCGGTACCCATCGGATGGGAGCTCGAATGGGCCCCAGAGCCGGTCTTGACGATGTTGAGAAGAGAAAGTTATTGACCCTACCGTGACTCGAACTCCGACCCCTTGGTCGTCCAGCCCGTAGCCAGTCGCTATACCGACTGCGCTATCCCGGCTCCTAGAACTGATATGTAAGGCTTTGCTACGTTTTAGATAAGATGAGCGCTACTCCGTTGTTACTTAGCAGCAGGAGGGTACATTGCATCGTCTGCGAGAGACAGAAAACAGAATGGAGTTTTGGTAAAATGATAACTGGCAAAGAAAGGGCTTTCATTCTGCGCGAATAACTGCCATAGTGCCACTTCGTCCACCACAAATCCTACATGAACTACCCTGGGATTAAACATGGTCGTTCGCGGTGGGAAACAGGCGACTATCCTTCTTAGCTATGGCAGTGCCTTGCCTATAAACCCACTTTGAGTGTCCAGTCATGGGACAAAAGTAGCGTCCAACATATTTCATTGCCTGTCCAAACGAACGTGTACGTGTTTCTTGTTCATTCGAGTAAAGGCATTTCGCTTTTCTCTTATGCTTCAGATTCGGGAGGTGGCGACCCCCCTAAACTGAAATGTAATCTGAGGAAACACAAACCGAACCGGAAGCCGCGGACACCTTTTACAACTCAGCAGCTGCTGTCTCTGGAGAAGAAGTTCCGGGAGAAGCAATACCTGAGCATCGCAGAGCGGGCCGAGTTCTCTTCCTCGCTGCACCTCACTGAGACACAGGTGAGTACCCGATGGATGGTTGGACAGGAAAGACTGCGCGTTCAGGAAATACTAATTCCAGATATGATTAAAAAATAATAAGTGAGTTTAATCCTTTTTGCGTGTGTGAAATTCGGTCTCTTACAGTGAAGACAAATTAGGCTTATGGATTTCGGTTCCTTGAAATAATACTCTGGAATGTATTTAAAACACAGCACATGTAACAACAGGGGGATACCCAAAATTCGTATTTTTTAAGTTCCTGCAATCTATAACAACAACATGGTGGACACATGGATATCCAGGAGAGCTCAGTCGGTATGGCGACGGGCTATGGGGTGGATGACAGCGATTCGTTTCCTGTCAGGGGTAAGAGATTTTTCTCCACAGCGTCCAGACCGATTTAATTACGTTCAAATCAGAGGGCTATTGCTGAATTACACGCTTTTCATTTCACCATTGCACACGCATTAGTATTCTTCGTCTTCTGTAGTCGTCTCCTGGCAACGGATCTCAAAACGGAAACTATAATAGTCTCACTGGATTACACACTCCAAGTATTACAACCAAACAAAATCTTCCAATCACAAACCAAGTCTGCAGTCGACAAACTTTCCGTGGCCGTCTCCTACCGAGAACTCACATGTAACTATGTCACTTAAAACTGAAATATGTTCTGTCTGTAACTGTCGGTATATAACCTCCGCACTGGCCACACAGAAAACAGCCTCTATTGTTGTAGAGGAGTGTTGACCTAGACGTTGCATAGCAACAGTCGCGGCGCGAATAGCATAGAAAATACCGTAATTCTATTGTTGCATGCCCGTATTGTGAGGACCTTACCGAGCAACGGCCGATGTTTACAGATTCACTGCTTAGCAACGGGTCTATATTCCACATTATGTTCGTACCTGTTCTATGTTCGGGCTCGTAATACACTAGGACTCATACTACGCTCTGGTTCCCACATTACTCGGTCCAGTACTATATTCCTGCTGGTTCTATGTTCGCCATCCTGCCTTGCTCGGACTTATTGTCTACAAGCTCGCGCTTGCTTTGTGTTCGGGGTCGCATTATGTTCGTTCTCTTGCTGTGTTAAGACCCATAAATTTCTTATACACTTCTAAGTTACTTCCGTGAATTTATTTTTTCATTAAAAGATATGAGGTTTTCACGGTGGTGACTATGAAGAAAGCAATCTGGTATGTGGGCCTTGTAAATATTGTGTTAACCGACGTTTCGGAGGAATGTATGGCCTCCATTTTCAGGGTAGAAGAAAAAAGAAGAAAATCTGCGATGAAGGCGATACGTTCCTCCGAAACGTCGGTTAACACAATAGCTGCACGGCACGACATTCCAGAAGACTGCTTTCTTATTTTTTTATTTTTTTAACAGAAATATTTATATTTATTTGGAGCTTATACATTTTCATTATATATTTATATATCATTCAACATTCTGTTCTTACAGGCCATTACGCTAGGAAATTGTCTATGAAAGGCCGCGCCATAGCTCAGAAGGTTAGTCGCTGGCTTCCCACCGCGGCGGCCCGGGTTCGATCCTGGGTCTGGTCAAGTGGGATTTGTAGTGGACAAAGTGGCGCTGGGGCGGGTTTTCTCCGAGTACATCGGTTTCCCTTGCCAATCTTCATTCCACCAAATTCACCATCATAATCACCCGGGGCAGGCTACAATAGGCCAATCAGTGGCCGCCATGCCGGGTGGACCCAGTTGGACTACACCCCCAATAAGCGAATTTTTTTAAATTTGTTTATGAACATTGCATTAGGTTCGCGTCTCGCATTGAGAATATGAACCTCTGAGTTTTGCCTCAAAGATTTACAAAATGTCAATTATAGATCCATGTGTTACTAGCCAATAAGAGGAAGTATACGTTTCTTAGAGCCGGTCACGGTAGCCGAGCGGTCTAAGACATGTACTGTCTTCGCTCGCTTGGAAACCGGGATCGTGGATTCGAATCCCACTCAGGGCATGGATGTTTAGTTTGTGTGTGTGCATTTTTCTGTGTATGTGTACGGGTAGAGTCCTTGCGACGAGCTGATCACCAGCCCAAGGAGTCCTTCCGAATGTGTAAGATCTAGAAAAACCGAAGTGAACGGAGAAGTTCATGGAGGTAGGCATAGTTCTACTGAGGCTGTAGTGCCAAGGGAAAAAAATACATTTCTTAGTACATTGCAAATAATTGCAGTTCCTCGTTGTTTTCAAATTTCCTTACTGTTATAAGCGGTAGGCCTATTGGCGGGTCACAACATTTCATAATTTTATATTAAATGGCAGCAGGGTCACATCCTAATCAGAAGCTTGCATGTCCGATAGAGTTAGTGTCACTGATTGCAGGAAATTAAAAGTTACAAATGTGGAGTGGTCTCTAATGCGGTACGATGTTGCTATCAGGCCTTTTCTTAAGGGGTCTGCAGGAGACAGGCACATTAATAGGTTCAGTGATGATGCTACAAGCATGACCCTCTTCGTGAAGAAAGAAAAACGGGCTATTTGAGTTGTAAATGTTGTGATTTTATTAATTTTAGCTGAAATTGCAGATGGGGTGGCACTAAATTCGCTTTTATTCTCACTTCAGGTGAAGATCTGGTTCCAGAATAGACGCGCCAAGGCGAAACGACTGCAAGAAGCCGAAATTGAGAAGTTGAAAATGGCAGCTGTAGCAGCCGCACGGCCGCCGCACCTGTACGGCCCTGGTCCCCACCACCCCGCACTGCAACAGTACTTCCACCCCCACCACGACCCCACTCTACTCGTCGGTCCGGCTCACCACCTTACAGCCGCCGCTCTTCTCGGTAGACACCATATGCCACCCTTAATCCCGCCACCTCCGTCAGGGTTATGCCACCCCCAGGGAGGAGGGATGGGTTCGCCCGTGGCCACGGCTGGTTCAACTGGACGGGCAGGTTCTCCTTCTCCTTCTGCCATCGGACTTTCCTAACAAGCGCACGCACGAACGGGAGGTCTGCGCTTTCTGTTTTCAAGACCCTGCACCACGTTCTCCTCGAGTACTGCAAATAAATAAAAACAATATTCTTTTTTCGGTTGTTGTCCTGTGCACGTGGTTCTGTGATCAATTTGACTCTCTGGAATTCTAAGCATGTTCATGACAATGACATAACTAGGAGTTCAAAGAATTTCCAAATTTTGGAGTGACATTTTCTCTCCGAACCACGTAAGTACGTGAGAAGAAAGAATGCATACATTCCTGTAATCCTGCTTGAATTTTGATTCTCACATCATTCCCGACCAGAACCAATTATGGTTCTGAAGTGTGAATCTTGTCGTTGGATCCTAAAGCAACCACTTAAATAACCATAAAACTCAGACAGGTAAAACAGATTACAAATAGGCCCAAAATTTTTGTTTTGGTGTGACGTGATATAAAGCTTACAGCAACTGACACCAGAAAGTATCCCATTGAATACAAGGCCACTAAACTCTCCGATCAGTTGTAAAGGAATCATAAGAAACCGTTTTATTGCGTAAGCATTTATTTCTCCAGGCACACCTCATTCCCCTACCCGAAATCCGCTGCGATATACCGACAAGAAACATCAAGTCCTATACATGTCAGCTGATACACAGAATTAATGGGTTTTCCGACTTCGTCCAAATTCTGGTATTTTAAAAACCAGAAAACACAACGGTTCGGAAACTGGATCTCTTTCCGACCTCAGGTGAGAGGGGAGACACATCTGTTGTGTCCCTTACAAAGAGCTAACCTCAATTTTTGGGCCTGGCCCAGCAGAGTAGGTGTCCCCCTCTCACCTGGGGACGGAAAGAGATTTAGTTTCCAAAACGTTGTGTTCCTAGTTTTTATAACACCGGAGTATGGAAAAAGTCCGAAAACCCAATAATTCTGGGTGTTGTACACCATTGTCAGAACCCTTTAGAATCTACATATTAGTTGATGATTGTTTAGATTTCCTGAATTTTTAAGTTTTTAAAGCTCTATAATTGTTCCTGTGTTTAACTTATTAAGCACTGCCTTATGAGGTGCATGGGGGAGTAGATCCACGTATTCTTGACATCGGCAACTAGTTGGAGGCGTGTGGTCGGCTACACAACCCGGCCGCTTTACCGGCGGGGAAAGAGCCCTTCGGTACCCACTGGATAGGAGGCTGGGTGGGCCCCAGAACCGGTTTGGACCATGTGGAGAGAAGATATATCTTGCCATTATAGGGATTCAAACTCCGACTTCTCGTCCGATAACCCCGTAACCAATCGCTATATCGACTGCGCTATCCTGGCTCTCTTTACAGCTCTATAATATTACCCGTAATTCTCGCGTTTAAATTAAAAATCGTGTCTTGCTGACGACAGATTGTGCAACATCTGAGCACATATCAACGTGTCCTTCTGAAGTTATAAACATAGTTCAGCCTGTTAGCGGCCCACAGTCGAGGCTTTTCGTTGGATGTAGGTCAGCGAATGTAATTCAGAACTACTGTCCTCAAAGATACACGTTTCCGAGATCAGAGTACTGAAGGGGGTGAACTGTCTTCTCGTAAATCTGTACTTAGATATCTATCTATGGTCCTTGTTTGATCTTGGCCGCTTTTTCAGTTTCTTGATCTTTTACACAGTCGGTAGGACTCCTTGGACGTGGGATCTGCCATTCGGAAGGCAGCTACCCACACACAGAAAAACATTAACACAGAATAAACGCACACAAACATCCATGCCTCAAGTGGGATTCGAACTCACGATCCCAGTGTTCGAGCTAGTGAAGACAGTTCATGCCTTAGCCCGCGAGGCCGGCCACTGCGATCGGAACATAAATCTATACACGGGCAACTAATTTCTACATTAGTGGAAGTCCAAGTTCAATCTTAAAGTAATCCATGTGTGGTTTCTGACGTAAAATTATCTCTGAGACAGATTTTCTCCAAGTATTTCAGTTCTTCAGTATCAGTTATTACTCAACAGACGCTCCATACTTATTCATCATCAGGGGATGGTGAAGTAGGCCAAGGATCTCTCTGTCTCATCCCGCATCTGCGACTAAAAATAATCCTTTAGTGCGGTATTGAACAAACTTGACAGCATCACCAATATCTTCATATTTAATTCTGTTATACATTAACATATCTGGTGAATACCCCAACAATGACGAATTGTACTATATAAATGTATTCTAGCTAGCTGTAACAGATGTAATGGATTATATATGTTCATTGAATTTCTGTTTAAACAAAATATCAGTGAATTTCCTTAAATTAACCCGTGTTAACTCGTGATATCCTCGCCATATTAAAGACACCAACATTACAACGGGTTTGTCGTGTGTACCTTATTATTATTAAGTTTAAAAATTATTAGAACATTTATTTCAACTCCATTATTTGAAGTTAAAAAGTATACGGAATTCAAATATCACATAAAGTATTAAAAATTATCATTAATATTATTTTTAAGCCTGCATTTGAAAATTGCTAGAAAGACAAGTGTAAGGTACGTCACTTATCAAGTACAAGTAGAATACAAAGGGAGGCACTTGAAGACTCGTGTCAGATATTGGCAATTAATTTTAATTCTAAACCCCAATAATGAGCTGCAACTACTGTATATAACCGTACGCTATATAACTTTGCCAAGTGCCCGTTACTAAGCTGTAGAATGCACATACACGCACTGGGCTCACATTAATGTCACAGAATATGAGCATTGAGTTCTACGAGTGAGATGAAATCACGTTTTGTCAACCTGAGCGGTAGGCTCGCTCGACAGAAACTCCCTGTTTGCACCAGTCGATGCAGTAGTAGCCTCTTTCTTCACATTTGTTAATTTCTATGGGTCTACTTAAAATAAAAATATTTCTTTAAAATAACCAAAGTCATCCTTCGGCCTTTTAGAATAACCTCTATCGGCTGTATCGTCCTCCAATTGTGTATAGACTGTTGAAGTCGGATGGTAGCACTCCGAATACGGGAGGTTGTGGGTTCCAAATTTGGCACAGAGGCCTGATATCCTGATTCGACTGTTTTCTTTGACAGCGCTTTGAAGCAGACGCTGGTCTAGTGCACTTAAATAAACAATTAGCCCTTCTTTCCAATCAGTTCAGTCTGATATATATATATATAGTCACCTTACTACTCGATCTTGAATAGCCTTTGAAGTTGAAATATGTCATTAAATATATCACGACTCAATCAATGAAAAATTATTTACCTGTTCTAGTAATGCATGAATTCTATTTTATTTTATGACGTATTCATACATGTGCAGACAAAGGCCGCGCCATAGCTCAAGCGGTTCATCGCTGGCTTCCCACCGCGGCGGCCTTGGTTCGATCACGGGTCTGGTCAAGTGGGATTTGTAGTAGACAAAGTGGCGCTGGGGCAGGTTTTCTCTGAGTACTTCGATTTCCCGTGCCAATCTTCATTCCACCAAATTCCCCATCATCATAATCAGCGGGGGAAGGCTACAATAGGCCAATCAGTAGCCTCCGTGCCGAGTGGACCCAGTTGGGCTCCACTCCTCACTAAGCGAATTACATGTGCAGACATGATGCACTGCAAATTACACGCTTTAGCCCTTTAAGACACAACAGCAACTGTATACACCACTTACTTACTTATTTAAGCCGTTCCTCTTATACCTTACGGTGTCGAGGTTGTTTCTTCATTTGATCATTTCACAGACGGGAGGACTCCTTGGACGAGTGATCAGCCCGTCGCAAGACCTCTACCTAAACGCAGGACAACATAAACACAGAATAAACACATACGCAAACCAAGCACCCATACCTTGTGTGGGATTCGAACCCACGATCCCGGCTTTCGAGCGAGCGAAAACAGTACATGCTTCAGACTGCTCGGCTACCGTGACCGGCATATACCACCTACGATTACATTAAAAAGCTGTACGTTTTACTCACAGAACATGTAAGTATTTCTGGTATGATTCTGAGAAGTGGCAGCGATTATTTCCTTAAGCAGCATTAACCGACTGGTCTTTGTAAAGCAGATGTAGTGTAAGTACAGACTGTGCAGCAAAGAGTGCACATGGTTTGAACACTTTTATTGAGGAACTAAACAGAACTAGGAGACTAGAGTTTTCATCGCATGAAACAGCTACTCAGATAGTTGTATTCTGATCTTTCTCCATTTCGCTCGGACATGTCCATCCGGTATTCAAATAGGCTGAAAATGTTGTCACATATTTGAGGCGTAATTATTTCCAAAGATTGGACGGTGCATATCGTACATAAAATTTGATAGTTCCACCGTCATGTGGTGAACACTGTAATATTATTTTCTCAATAAAAATGTTTGAAATGACTGCAGTCATTCTCGGACACCCTATTTTGCGAGCTACGAAATGAAACTTAAAATATTATTGACATAAACTTCATGTTTAAAATATCTTGTGTTGTGAAATTTTCCTGAACCACTGAGCTGCGTATATTTACTTTAAATTACAAGTTCACTCTTCCAATCACCGTTCGAACTGAGAAGAACCCGAACTAAAGAGAATCAATAGCCGTGTCACAATTGAATATAGATACGATATACGAAAAAGATGCGCACAGTTTTATACCCTTCATGACTTTCATTGCATTGTTTAATGTTGGGTAGGGCTATGCTATCAAGCGACTAAATCTGATATATCAACCAGTTAAGGTCTGGAGGTTCAGGATTTGGTTCCCGGAAGGGGCAAGGATATTTCTCTTCAGCTGTGGTCCTCATCGGTCTTCGGACCTACCCAGTGTGCTATACGATATTACAAAGTATAGAAAGGATAGAACGTGAAGCGAGCCACTCACCTCCATCCAGCACCAGAGTTAAGAATGAATTTTGCTTTATTTCCATTCCCCGATACTTTCATAACATGGTACTTAAACATGGTATTTTACACTGCCGAAGGATATTTTCTGGTGTGCTGTAAGTGAACCAAAATACAACATAGGCCGTTCATTTACTTCCCATTCCTTTTATAAAGTATTCATTTGGGAATCTGAAGTTTTGCTTCATTCCCGAAAGGTGTTGTCAGAAATCGAAACTACTGTAACTGCTTCTGTAGTATCTTTGAGGGCGTCATCATTAGACAGTGACGTGAATCATTACGTCATCATTATAAGGTTACTACGTTATTTTATGTTGCTACTGGAACAAAAATTACCACGAATTCTTTGCTGAAAACACACAGGACTTCTATACTTTAAAATCC